ACTTTAAAACTGTAGTTAATTGTAGTTTATATTGAAACAATTAACTGTATAATTAACATCTTTACTCAAATTACATTTCTGCGAATTGTTTGATATTCAATACATAATTAAAGTTAATTGAATTTAATACATAATTAAAGTTAATTGAATTTAATATATATAACAATACAATTATGGCGTATATGAATTAAAAATAATTAAATATAAGATTCACAAATTGTATATTATTTTATACTTTGTAAGATGTCCAATAATTCTTCTAATCATCAAAGTCAAGAAAGCACAGAAAGCGATTCAGAATATTCTTCCAAACTAAATATTAATTTGGGTGCTTTACAAAAGTCTGCATCAAATGTATTTCATATACAATATACCTCTATACAAGAATTTAGTGAAGGTAGTTTTCATAAAGTATATATCTTAAAGATGGAAGATAGTAATAAATATATTGGAAGAGTAGCATTCCCTGTATATTCACAATGGAAGACAGAATATGAGGTGGCAGTTATAGAGTATATTCATTTAAATACACATATTCCTGTTTCCAAAGTTTATTATTGGAATAATTCTGTCAATAATCTGGTAGAAACAAAATATATTTTAATAGAGTATTTACCTGGTATTCATCTTTGTGATATATAGAGTAATCTCAACATAAAAAAAAAGAAGTTATTTCTTTTAAAAATTATAGACATTCAATTGGAACTTAAAAAACTTATATTTTCAAAAATTGGTAGTATTTTTTTCGATAGTAAAAATGATCAATTTAAACTTGGTCAAGTGATTGAAAGTATCTTCTTTACTGGTGAGCGGGCAGCTTTACTCACTATAAAATAGGGTCCTTTCAAAACAACAAAGAAATATATCTTAGCAGTTATTCGAAATTAGATGCATTACTATAGCATGTTTAAATCTACAAAAAAGCAAAAGTGTTTGATTCCAAAATATAAAGAACTATATCAATTGGTACCAAAATATTTTTAGGATGATGGAAATGACACATTTGTATTAACGCATATAGACTTTTACACATCAAACATTCTTGTCAAAAATGATGAAATAACAGGAGTTATAGACTGGGAATGTTCTGGTGTGTTTCTAGTGAAATGTTTATGTACTTATCCAGTATGGATAATTAACAATCCTATAATAGAACAAAATAACAAAAAGTCTAGAGAAAATATAATATTACAAAAATTTTTTTGAAGTGAAATGTCTCATTGTGACACTGATTTTATACGAACAATAGACAATATAGATGAAGAAAAAAAGGAATTTTATTCCACAATGTTTAGCCAAGAAGTATAGAAAATAGATGATTTTTTAAATAAATTTAGACTAAAGTAATTTTCATATAAGTCCTAAAATAATACAAACTAATAGTTTTTTAGAAACTACAATTTATAGTAACTA